GCGGAACATATAAAGGCGAGTGGGGTGATAGGAATTGAAGTTATGATGAGAATTGCTAACAGTATGTTGGATGATGAAGGTATACCTGAGGATTGGCGACATAGTGTGTTGGTGCCGTTGTATAAGGGCAAAGGAGATGTGAGAGATTGTGGGTCATATAGGAGTGTGAAATTGCTAGAGCATGGAATGAAGGTAGTGGAGAGGGTGCTTGAGAGAAGGTTGAGAAATATGGTGACAGTTAATGAAATGCAGTGTGGGTTTATGCCTGGTAGGGGAACGGTGGATGCGTTGTTCATAGTGAGAATGTTGCAGGAGAATTATAGAAAGAAGAAACGAAGATTGTACATGTGTTTTGTGGATCTAGAAAAGGCTTTTGATCGAGTACCGAGGAAGGTCATTGAATGGGCGCTGAGGAAGAAAGGAGTGAATGAGAGACTTGTTAAAGCTGTGATGCAGCTGTATGAAGAGGCGAAGACAAAGGTGAGGGTCGGAAGGGAGATGTCGGACGCTTTTAGTGTTAAGGTAGGAGTGCATCAAGGATCAGTGTTATCACCGTTTTTGTTTGCAATTGTGATTGATGTTGTGTGTGGAAACATAATGGAGGGGTTGTTATTTGAGATTTTGTATGCAGATGATTTAGTCTTGATGGCTGATAGCATGGAAGAATTGCAGTTAAAATTTGACAAATGGAAAAGTGGACATTGTGACATTGATAGGGAGATCGAGATTGCGGTGGTATGGACATGTGTTGAGAAGGGATGAAAGGGTCGGGATTAGGCGAGCGTTGAAGTTCGAGGTTGAAGGAGTGATAGGAAGAGGTCGTCCGCGACTGGGATGGAGAGAGCAGGTGGAGAAGGACAAAGTGAAAGCGGAGTAGCGTGATACGAGTGACAGATGGGAGGGGTATTTCGGTTTCATCATAGGTAGCCAAACGGCAACCCCTGATCTCGGGGAAAATGTCGTCTAAACGTGTGTTGTTGTTTGTTGTTGTATATATATATATATATATATAAGAGTGGGGTACTTTTGGGGTGGAGGATGGATCGGATAGAGCGCAGAAGAGAAGAGAATAAAAGTAGGATGGAAAAAATTCAAAGAAATGATTTCAGTACTGTGTTTTAGGGGTATACCATTCTCCTGAAGGGTAAGGTATACAAAGCATGCGTAAAATGTCGCCTGTTGAATGGGTGCGAAACTTTGGCTATGAAGGCTGAAAACTTAAGAAGGCTGGAGAAAATAAAAATCCAGATGCTGAGAAGAATAATGGGAGTATCCTTGAGAAATGGTCTAAGTAATGAGGTAATGAATATAGGATTACTTTCATAGCTCATGTCTCATTGCCGTACATCATCACACGTTGAACATACTTACTGTATATTTTTACTTCTACCTTTAAAGAAGCACCTCTTGCTGTCAGAATCGGAACTAGTTCTCGATACTTAGCCCAAGCACACCGCACTCTTGCTCTCGATGCCTCCTCAGCTCCACCCCAGATCCTATCATATCTCCCAGATAACAAAACTTCTCCACACATTCCACCTTCCCTTCACAATCTACTTCTATCTATTTTCTTATTTTCTTTTGTATTCCCTTTCTTATCATATCTCCCAGATAACAAAACTTCACACATTCCACCTTCCCTTCACAATCTACTTCTATCTCTTTTCTTATTTCCTTTTGTTCCCTTCCATCAACATTATTATTATTATTAAGAAACATATCTTTTTTCTTATTCTATTTTATTATTATTAAGAAACATATCTTTTTACACCTGAAAGCAGCCACTTCTAGACTGCCGGTCAGTCCACTGCATCTTTTATGCACCCATTTCTTACAAACACTACAGATTATTGAGTTTGCTCCAACACCCGTCTTGCACACTGCACACGGCCACTTACAGTATTCTCTACTTGTCCAGTCCTTACATTTTTTATATTATTCTTTAAAAATCAGGATCTGACAGACGCAGAAACTGTTACAACATGCAAGGCAGTAGTACAAAATTAAACGAATGAGTAAGTATATAGATAAAAAAAAAACGGAGAAAGAAAAATGTTTAAACAAGAAAAATAAGATAAAATAGAATAAAATAAATAATAATAGTAAAATAAATGAAAAGAAAAAAAAATAAATTGATAATAAAATGAAGTAATGGCATAAAAACGCAAATTAATAGACTAGATGAAGACTTAGTGAGTTGGTGAGGTGATTGATAAATAAAAACTAGTTGTGTGAATGATAAAGTTTTATTTAAAAAAAAACTAGTTGTGTGAATGATAAAGTTTTATTGAGTGTTTATATGTCTTGTGATGAAAGTCTTTTCCTGATATGTAGATTGGGTGGCGACTTTGGATAACACATAACTTTGGATTTATTCATGTTAACTCTTAGCCCTTTTGTTTTCATTGTATCTTTCCAACACCTAATTTTCTCCACCAACTCTTTCCCAGAATCTGGAATCAGACAAAAATCATCCGCATAGAGCAGCTCCCATGGCAAGCCCACGCGGAAATCCTTCGAAAGAGCCTCCAAAACAATAATAAACAGCAGAGGGCTGAGCACCGAACCATGATGTACACCGACTTTCACTTCAAAACTATCACTCTCCCCATCCATCATCCTGACTGCTGTTGTCACGTCCTCGTACATAGCTCTAATAATATTCACAAGCCATTCCTCAACTCCCAGACTCGCAAACAAAAAATCTACAAAAGCCATACACAAGTCCCTCTTCTTTCAAAATGCCTTTCTTGTATTTGCCGAACTTTAAAAATTGGGTCTGTAGTACCTTTCCCTGGTCTGAAACCAAACTGCATGTCATTTATAAACACTTTACTCCTTACTTTTTTCTCAATCACTCTTTCTAGGATTTTCATTACATGATCAAGTAAGTAGCTTAATGCCTCAATACGATCCACATTTTAGAGCATTCCCTTTCCTTTTATAGACAGTCACAATCTAGCTTTTCTTCCAAACATTAGGAACTTTGCCTTCGCGAACTATTGCGTTACAAAGATCTGTTGCCCACTGGACACCTACATTCCCTGAAGCTCTTAGCATCTCCACTACCAGAACTGATGAACAAGCAGCCTTTCCTGACATGGCCTTGGAAATAGCAAACTTCACATCACTGTAGGTTATAACCTCTAGAGGACCACTCACCATATTCACCATAGGCAAACCATCCTTATCCCATTCAAACTCTTCATTTAACAGCTTTTCAAAATAAACTTTCCACCTCTCTTTCACATTATCTTTAGCCGTGAGTAGTTTACCATCCGACCATTTGACACAGCTTACACCAAAACATTTCTATTCTTTCTAATGATTTGTTTTATTACTCTGTTCACTGTTCCTTTTTTCTCTGAATAATCTACCATTTCACAAAACACCTTTTGCTCCTCCGACTGAGCCATGTAAACTGGTCTTTTTGCCCCTCGCTTAACTGAGCAATACAAGATCCTGTCCTCCTCCTTCTTGGTCTTCTTCCATATCCTATACAACTTTCTCTTTGCCTCTATAATCTTCCCAACCTCCTCGCTCCACCACCATGATTCTCTGTGTCTCGGCTGGTCCTTAGTTCTACAGCAAACATCATCAGCTACTACCAGCTATTCTTAAATTAATTCCACATGCTTTCCACATATCTATCGCTTCTCAAATCTGCTTTTTCTTGAATCTTTTCCTGAAAGACACGACGTGGCTCCTCCTCCTTCAATTTCCAAACTCTACACTTACTTACGAATACCTCCTTCTTCTTTGCAAGCTTGCCACTCAGGTTCACTTTACAAACGACTAACTAATACCGGGTAAAAAATGTAGAACTATTATAATCGGCGGTTTAAGGAAAAGTGGCGGACCCAAGCTCACCTGGAAAGAAGTTTTGTCAAAAGACATAAATTCACTGGGCCTGAAACCAAAACTAGCCAAGAATAGAAAAGAATGAAAAAGACGGTTAAATGACCATGATCATGCAACAAGGTTAACCCGGGGTTTTTGTCAGCGAAACCTGGAACGAACCCTGGGCGGCTCTGCCTCCCAGGTTTGAGCGCCTACAAACGTTCATAATGATATATATATATATATAATATATATATATATATATTAGGATTTAGACCATATTCAATACAGTTTTTAAGAAAATCAACCGCGTTAATACAATTATTATATTTATACATTAATTTTTCAAGTTTTCTAATTAAAATTTTATTATAGATATTTAATTTATTAAGTAAAAAACTAAAATTATTATTGTTCATGTTTATTAAAATAAATAATTGCAGAAAGCTTTTTCGATATAAAATATATCATCGTCAGTGCAAAATATTTTAAATAATAACGAAAATTACCGTTTATAAACAAATGACGTCATATCGTATAACTTAATTTTAAGCGCGAAACATTTTTGAAAATACTATTATTAATTATTATATACTATATATTTAACATATTGATAAAATTAACTTAAAATTATTTACATAGATATATATTACAATTAAACAAAATAAATTAAAATTAAAATTTTAAAATTGCTGAAAAAACGACCATAAAGTAAATCAACAAATAAAAAACAAAAATCAGCCATATCATCATACTACAATATTCATGTTTCCAAGTTTATATTATTATCATTGTTATAGTTATTATTATTATTATTACTATTGTTGTTGTAGTTGTTGTTGCTGTTGTTATTGTTGTTATTGACAATGATGATGTTGTTGTTGTTAACATTAGTATTGGTGTTGTTGCTGCAATTATTAACATTATTGTTGGTGTTGTGGT